CCAAAAGCCCAAGTTTCCCCCATACGGAGCAGGGACCCAAGGACTGGAGTGATAATCTACCTTCCCAGGCACATCAGCAAGGAACTGGGTCTGAGGTGGAATGGCCAGACTTGAATCTGTGCTTGTAAGGGAGGCGGTTGTCACAGGCAGCCACTAAACCCACGTACAATATCTACCCGATTATTTCTCGAGGTTCTTCCATTTGTCCCTACCCATTGTAGATCAGAGGTAAGGCCCAGATTGATGCACTTTTGTTTGTTTTAAGATTTATTTTTACTGGAAAGGCAGGCTTACAGAGAAGGAGAAAGATCTTCCATCTGCTGCTTTACTCCCTGAGTGGTCACAACAGCTAGAGATGAGCTGATCCGAAGCCAGGAGCTTCTTCCGGGTCTCCCATGTGGGTGCAAGGTCCCAAGTCTTTGGGCTATCCGTGACTGCTTTCCCAGGCCACAAGCAGGGAGTTGAATGGGAAGCAGAGTTGCTGGGATTAGAACCAGCGCCCATATGGGATCCCGGCGTGTTCAAGGCGAGGACTTTAACCGCTAGGCCACGGCAATGGGCCCAAACTGTTTATTTTTTTTAAATTGCATTTGAGAGACTGAGTGACAATGAAGGAAAGCTAGACCTTCCATTCCCTGGGTCACGCCCAAGGTAGCTGCAATTGCCATGACTGAGCCAGGCTAAAGCCAGCAACTGAGAACTCCACCTGGGTCTCTCACATGGGCAGCAGGGACCCAAGGAGTTGGGCCATTATCCACTGCCTTCCAGACCTCAAGCCAGTATGCCAGTGTGGGAGCAGTGACTTAACATGCTGTGCCACAACCCCAGCCCTGGGCGTCCCTTACATGGCATTCTCAGGAGGCACAGGACTTGAAGGCTCTGCTTAGTGGGCGCTGGTCCACGTGCTTGCGCTGGGAGGAGCCTGCTCGCTGCACTGTCCAGGCAGCGCCCCGTCTGTAGTGACCAATCACCTGCCATATGAACAGCCTCTTCCCCAGCTGCTGTCATTGATAATCCTTGCCTGAGGGAATAGATGAGAGGAATAGAAAATGGTGATCTTCAACGCCACCTTTCCTTCTGCCTTCAGTAATTTCTTTGACAAAGGTTCTTCTGTGTGTGCACGTGTGTTGTGTCTCACTACATACTTATGCATTTAGTTATTGTGCTATACTCACTCCTAGCCATCCTTTTCCATGTTCAAGTTGTCCCAAGTTTGGTCACTGAGTCTCTCCAAGCTGGTTTCCGTCCACTGTTTCACTCCTCAAATGCCTGCAACAGTCAAGGCTGGGCCAGAGAGCAGAGCCTAGAACTCTGTCCGGGCCTCCCGGCCAAGGGGCAGAGCCCCAGCTCCTTGAGCCCCCACCTGCTACCCCCAGGAAGCTAGGATGGGGCGTGGAGCTGGGACATAAACCCAGGCCCTCCCATGTAGGTCTCCCCAGCAGTAGCTAGCTGTTATGCCAAACCCCCATCCCGGGGCTATGTCCGGCGACTCAGCCTTGGATCCTTGCCTTGCTCTCTGGCTCCAGGAGTCCTAGCTCACGCCGTGAGGGCTGGCGTGGAGTCAGTCAGCAACCACCCTCACCGAGGCAGGCTCCAGAAGAGGTGCCATGGAAGGAATGTTCTAACAGTGTAGGCCATCTCTGGTTCCGTGTCTGTGCACCCCATGGGCTTAGCTGCAGGACAAGCTCCTTGTGGTGGCCTGCTGGGCCTGAGGGTCCAGTGGGTGCTTTATTTCTGATACTGCCTTGGTGTTCTTCCAAAGAACAGGCACCTGGGCATTTTGCCTAGCGGTTTAGGTACTGGCATCCCACGCTGGAGTTTTGGTTCAACTCCCAGCTCCACATGCCAGCTTCCTGCTCACTCTGACCCAGTGAGGCAGCAGCAGGTGATGGTGCACGTGCTGGGGTCCTTGGCACACATGCAAGGCCTGGCTGGGGGGCCCGGCTTCGGCCTGACCTAGCCCCGGCTGTTGCAGTTATTTGTGGTGTGAGCTAGGAGGTGAAAGCTTGTTTATAAACAACACATAAAGGGCTGGGACTTTGTCTGCAGTGGGTGCAATTGTATTTCTAGCACTGGGAACAGCGCCCAGTGTTGCTAGTTCAGAATTTGTCAAACAAATGCATTTTCTCTCTGGTAGCCGGGGAGTGCACTTGGCGTCAGCACACCTGGGTGACCTACCCCAGCTGTGACCAGAGGCCTGGCCCGGCTCTGACTGGGGCCTCTGTCCCTTTAGGTGTTCCACTACATGAGCGTCGCCATCTTGGTCTTTTTTATGATGGAAATTTTCTTGAAGATATTTGTCTTCCGCCTGGAGTTCTTTCACCACAAGTTTGAAATCCTGGATGCCGTCGTGGTGGTGGTGTCCTTCGTTCTTGACGTTGTCCTCCTGTTCCGGGAACACGAGTTTGAGGCCCTTGGTCTGCTGATTCTGCTCCGGCTCTGGAGGGTGGCCCGGATCATCAACGGTTGGTCTCCTGAGCTGCCGGGAGGGGGCTTTGGGCTGGGAGTGGGCACGGGGCTGGGTGTAGGCACGCAGGTGCAGTGGCATAGTCATGGAGCAGGGGAGCCCGAATGCGTGGGCACACACAGTCCTGTCACAGACACCCTGAGGGACATGAAGGGGTGCGAGTTCACATCCCAGCGCTGCCTCCATGGCTCTGCCTGCAGCCGGGCCGTGTGCTCCGAGCCTCCAGCCTCCTCAGCCATGTTTTCACGACTGCTGAGACATCTGCAGTAAGGGCCAGACCAGCTTGGAGTTGGCCCTTGCCGCTCTCCCAGGGCATCCTGGTCTTTAATTTGGTGTCTCCTCCCACCCTGGACCAGCCCTCCCCTGGAGGGCCCCATCTAACAGGGACATAGTCAGCTAAGATGCTCCACAGAGGAGGCCTTGGCCTTTGAGCAAAGTCACAGGTGCATCAGCAGGAGCAAGGTGCAGAGTGTCTGCAGTGCTCCCAACTTGTCTGTTGCCAGGGAGAAATGACTCCCACTAACACAGCCTAGATGTGGGGCACGCTTCCGGCCAAGATGCTCATGCTCAAATGCCCCGATGCTGCAGGTGTTCCACGGCACAGCGGCTGTGGATCTACAAGGGACGGTGACCATCAGCTGGGGGTGAAAAGCCGCCTGTGCCGCGGCTGCAGCAATCACCTCGCAGCCTTTGCAGGCCACTCTGCCCTGGCCAAACCCCGGAGACGGACAAGGCCACAATTCCACCCAGGGCTTCATCGTGCTCTGGACTCATTCGGGACACTCCTTCATGTGTCAGGAATGGGAGCCTTTCCGAGATGGAAGAGGTGGCTCCTGCAGCAGGGGTGTCGCAGGCTGGTCCCTCCCAGCAGCTGTGTCCCTTGCTGCCCATGCCTGCAGCACTGTTGTGCGCAGTCCTGTGACAGTTGGTCTCGGCCCTCCCGGGCCTGCCGCCTGCCCCTCTGTGCTCCTCCCAGCCACACACATGCGTAACATGTAAAAACCGCTGTAACTGAGGCCCTCGATTATTTTTCAGGGATAATCATCTCAGTGAAGACCCGTTCCGAACGGAAACTCTTACGGTTGAAACAAATGAATATTCAACTGGCCGCCAAGGTCCAACACCTTGAATTCAGCTGCTCGGAGAAGGTAGGTAGATGAGCTGGGGAGGATGTTCGCTGCTGCAGGGCCCTGGGCTACAACGTTCCTGGTGCTTCCAGACTCAGGGGCGTCTCTCCCCCCAGTGGGCTGAGGCCCACAAGGAAGGCACCTTTCCATGCCCTGTGTCCCTGGGTCTGGACCCTTACATGACTGTCACAGGCAAAGTCCAACCCTTGTCTGCTTTTGCCACAGGAACAGGAAATTGAAAGACTTAACAAGCTCTTGAGACAACATGGACTTCTTGGTGAGGTGAACTAGATGGGGACAACCTGCCCGAGAGAAAGAGAGAGAGAGAGAGAGATGTCGCACCCGGGGCTCTGCTGGGACCCAAGTGCTGACCGCTGTACCCGGGGCCACGGCAGAGGTATGCCCCTCGGTGCCTTTGCCTCACTTCTGCCAAACACGGATTCAGGGATGGACACAGGCTCTGGGCAGGCTAGGCGTCTGTCCAGGGTGGTCCAGAGCTGCCCAGCTCATCCCTATGCCACTGTGATAATTGCATCATCAACTCTGGCTCAGCGTGAACATTTGTGCTTGCAAATGAACAAAGTGGACGCTCCCGAGCTGTATATACAATTTAACAGTCTCCAGCGCTCCGGCGTGCACGGAAGGACCGGGGTGGGGGCACCCTGACAAAGAACGAAGCTGCCTTAGCTCCCAGCCTGACAGGGAGCAGCCTTTTTTATTGTGAAACTGTTCTAAACAGCTGCTCTCAGCCCAGTTCCCCTGCCCTGCCCCACCCCTCCCCCTGGGGAGCTGCTCGCCGGCCCCTCCCCTGCAGTCCCCAGCTGCACATCCGGATTCTAGCTGCCACCACCTCGTCCTGCCACCTGACAACCGTTTTCTCAATTACTGTACAATTAATGTATAAAATAAACGTCCTCCTCCCGAGGCCTGCTGAGTTCTTTCCCGGGTGGCCACCCACACCAGCCCTCTGGCTGTCATGTGAGCTGGCACGGGGCTGGCACCCATGGCAGTCAACCCTCTGCCTGCTCTGTAATTAGCACACTGTTGGGGTATGGAGAGGGGTTTCTGGAAGGCCTTGGAATCTATTTACATGACTGTATGACACCTTGCTAGTTTGGTACTCATTCTGACCAGATCTGTAAAGAAAAGAAAACCTGAACTAAACCCAATATAGACGTCTTAAATAGCTCCCACGAAAGCAGGGGTGAATAAACAGGCCCGGCCATTCCTGCTGGTGTGACATTGAGGGCTCCGGCATGACCAAACTCCCCAAAGACAGTGTGCTTCCACGTGTGACCTCTCTGTTGGGAGCTGGACATGACCCATGCCAAATGTCGCTAAACTCAAACCAGGCACACAGAAATCCCCTAAAGGGAAGGAAGAAAGGAAAGGAAGTTGGAGTGCTGCTTTGGGAAAGCATTCGGGCCCCTCACACACCCTTCTCCTAAAGGTGAACACTTCAGGCCAAGAAGGCATTTCCTTAAAGCCACAACTCACGTCAAGCAAACGGGAAGAAGAAGTTGAAGGGCAGCCTGGCGTTGACGGTCGGCCGAGCCCGGAAGCCGGCCTCTGCAGGTGCAGACACATCCATAAAAGTAACCGCAGTGGAAATAAGAATTGTCCTTTCATTTCCTGAGTGGGTCTGCAACAGAAAGTCGGACACAAGCCCCGCCATTAGCACTCAATCCCTGCCAGGGATGGATACCCACATGGCCTAGCAGCTGAGATTAATTTAAACAAGAATGCCAACACAAGCACAATCTTGGTGGGTGGGACTGTTCTCCTTCTAAGGGAAAGGCAGAGACCGACTGCTGAATTGGTCTCCCAATCCGGGGATCACTTCAGTTACAGTCCTTTCCACAAGTGGGACCTCTTGCCTGCCACACCGGAGTGTGACCAGGGCTCCATGATGGCGTACCTCGGGGAAGGAGGCTGAGAGGAGATTCGCCGTCACATTCACGATTTTGGCCTGAGGGTTTAGCAGGGATCCGTACTTGGTCCACTTGACCTCTATCAGCAAAGCCACAGGGAGTTGGCAAGAATCCTGCAGAACGCAATGCCATTCATTGGCTGGAATCATACACAACCTCAAGCTTAATCTGCAGTTCGGGGTTTTAATGTGAAACATTTCATGGATTACACAATGTTCTGAACAAGAGAATGACTAGACTGGAAGCTCAGACAAGCCAGCTGGGACAAAGCACTCACTGCAAGTATTCAGTGACTTAAACACCTAACGCTTCTTTCTCCACCTGGTCCTGTTTCTGAGGAGGCTGTCTCACCTGGGAGCCGTGGCAATCCTGCAGCCAGCTGCAGAGCTGTCTGCCTGGCAATGACTTCAGGAGGCCAATGGCACAAGGCTGGAGGGCGTAGGAGTGCCCAGAACAAAGCCCAGTGGTCCATCATGCAAAGTGCACCACCGGAAGTCCGTGTGCTTGCATTCCTTTCACTTCAGTGGCAGTAAGAAGTGACATTTGGATACCCAGCCAGTGTCCGTATGTTATCAGGCACTCACTCCTTAAGTACACTGAGCAGGCTGCAGTCGGGCTGCCTGAGACGAGGCTGACCACTGTAGGAGTTGGCCCCGGGGCCCCTAACCTGGGAGCCTGGCTCGGTCAGCGCCAAGGGAAAATCAGGTAGTGGGCTTTCCAGACCTTCGTCCTGCCTTCGACTGGCAACTGTGGCAGCTGTGGAAGCTACCTTGTGGGCAGATGGGGATTCTACTATCCTGCACTACTTCTGAGTATGTTTGGAACTTTTCCATGACATGTTTTAGACACATTCAGGACCTAAGTGGCTAAGTGGGCCTTCTACCTTTGACACCTGCTAGAAAAGCACTACTGGAAATTCCTGAGCTGGGAACTGCCTTTAAGAACCTTGCAGGCAGATGCAACCAGGGTTGTGGCCTAGTGTTTTAAGCCCCCACCTATAGTGCTGGTATCCCATATGAGCACTGGTTGGAGTCCTGGCTGTTCCACCTGCAGTCCAGTTTCCTGCTAATATGTTTGAGAAAGCAACAGAGGATGGCTCAAATCTTTGGGTTCCTGCACCTACATGGGAAACCTGGATGAAGTTCCAGTCACCTAGCTTTTTTGCCTGGCTCAGCTCTGTCTGTTGTGGTCATTTGGAAAATGAACCAGTAGAGAGAACTCTGCATGCACTCTTTCTCTCCCTAACTCTGCCTTTCAAATAAAAACATATTTAAATATAAATCGGCTTTTTAAAAAGTCTTTGCAGGTAAAGCAAGTCCTGAGTGTATCCTGTCACCTGAACGGGGGCAGAGGATGTGAATGGTAAGGACACTGGGACGGAACCCACTCCAGGCCCTCAGAGCATCTGACCACGCTGGGTCCCCTCCTCCGAGCTGCCACCCCTCCAGAGGTTAGAAAAGCACGGGCTGTCCTCCCTGACTCCCCCGTTGAGAAGCCACTGACTGGCTGCATTCACTGAGAGTGGGGGGCTGGCGGAGCCTGAGCAAACCTGGTCTCTGCTGGAGAGGGCAGGCGTGGAGCTCAGAGCTCGCAAGCTGGGGCTCACCCCGTGGTGCCCTTGCTATAAATGCACTAAGCAGATAATGAGAAACCTGAGAAACTGCCAGGGAAATGCTGGGCAATGAGGGGATAAGCTGGGAGCGGCCCACGCTGAGCCAGCTAAGACAAAGGAAAAGGAGGGGCAGGAGACACACGTGCCTGGGACGTCACTTTCCGTTACACCCCCTGGGGAACTTTGGAGCTGAAAGCTCCCGCGTGGGCTGCTGCTGCAGAACAGGGAACAAGGGCTGGGACGGCAGTGTGGGTGACAGGAAGCTGCCGCCTTGGAGAGAGGCCTCACCCGCATTTCACTGTTAACACAAGACACCTAGAGGCTCATCCAACGGTGAATGATGACCTCTCGGTGCCCTCCGAGGCCCTTACCTGGGACACTTGGGACCACAGGTGGTTCTGACTCTGGAGTATCTGCATTTACAGAATGAGATGTCCTGGGCACAGCACCCATGTCTATACTCAATTTCACATACACCTTACATATGGATAACCTGAAGTTAATTACATACAACATCTTTATTGCACCTGTTTGCTGGGTTTTTGAGTCAGAGAAATTGCCCATCTCCTGGTTCACTTCCCAAATACTCACAGTAGTGAGGCTGGGCCAGACCTACGCCAGAAGTCTGGAACTCAACCCAGGTCTTCTACCTGGTGCTGGGGACCCAGCCCCTCAGGCCTGTCAAATGCCTCCAAGCATCTGGATGAGGAGGAACTAGAATCAGGTGCCATACCCAGGACTCCACTGTGGAGTGTAGGCTGCACCACATTATCACCTGTCCCCACTTGCAGCCTATCTGGTCAGGTGTGGCATGTCCATCGTGGCATGGTGTCAATGGACTTCAGCGTGCATCACAGTCCAGGCCTTTGAGGTAGGAAGGACTGACTGGTGCCACCAGTATGTCAAGCTTGAATGGCCCCCATTCAACATGGGTTTTTGTCCCAAGGACCAATGAATTCCCCCCTTGACAGACCTGAGGTCTATACCATTCCTATTTCACAGGAAACGGGTTCAAGCCCAGAAAGCCGCTGGCCGCAGCAAGTGCTCACAGGGGGCAGAAGCAATATTCCAGATCCAGGCCAGTCCAGCATCAAGGCCCAGGCTCCTGCCCGGCGCCTCCCTGACCTGACCTAGGAGCAGGCAAGAGTGGCAGCATGAAGCCCTCAGCTGTCAGCCCTTTACCTTCACATTGGATGACTGGGTGACAAAGTGGATGGGCACCCAATCCAGCACATCCTGGGCTCGGGTATTTCCAAACGGAGCCACGTAATCTGGGAAGCCCTGGCCCTTCAGCAGGCCTCTCACGGTTGGCACCAACAGGTGACACGGGACAGCTCTGGTCAGTCTAGGGGAGGGAAAATAGGTCAACTGAAGGAGGCCAGCGTCCACGGGCAAGTGTCTTCAGAGGCCCCAACAACAGGCATTCTCACCTCACTCTGCCATGTGGGATGATGCATAGAAGCTAAGGTGGCTCAAACTTTGTAAAATATTGGCCAAGTAGTTATTTCCAAAATGGTTCCCAAACTGGGTTCTACTGAAGCTGTATGCGAATGGTTCCATGGCCCCAAGTTGGGAACCATCACCTCTCCCCGTTCCCTGCCCCTCCTGAAGCACACAGGCATGTTCCAGGTTCCGTCTGCCAAGAGGAAGCAGGCATGGTTCTAACTTTACTTCAGTGTTCCCCAAACACATCAGACTACAGTCCCATGCCTAAAGACATCTTGTGGCAATGCATTCCCTGGAATTCTGGCCTGACAAGATCAAAACTACTAATGCAAATGTTTGAGTTGGAACCAACCAAGCAATGACATCATCAGCCCAGGGAGAAGTTGTAAAGCAGGAAAAAAGCCAAACCTTCTCCCATAGTGGGAATTCAGTAAACATAAAAAAATAAAGTTTGTAAGACTAAAAAGAATCAGGAGGTGGGACTATGTGCAGGTTATTTCAAGACATTGGGTGGATTTCCACAGCTACTCAGCTCTGTGAGTTCCAAGCGGCAGGACCAGGGTGGGGACGGCTGGGGGTTATGGTGGGCCCTGCAGAGCCCCCGGACAGCTTCCGTGATGTGCATATCTGACGATAAAAACAGGTCATGCTTGGGGTTCCTTGTGCTGGTTCCCTCATGCTCTATATGCAAATATTAAAATTCAGAAATAGAAAGGCATCTCAGAAAGTTTGTGGAAAATGAAAAGCTTGTTTTGGTGCCAAAAAACATTGGAAATCCACATATATTAGGGTTCTTCAAAAAGCTCACGGAAAATGCATTATATTGAAAAAAAAAATAGCTACACATGAATTTCATATTTTTTCACCAAAATATACATTCCTTTTCCTTTCATTTTCCCATGAACCTTTAGGAGGATCCCCATGTGGACCTGTGAGGGGCAGGACTGTAACTGTGAACTCCAGTGCTGGAGTCTACCAAACTTTGCGACCCTTCTGCCACATGTGTGCCTAGCCTTGCTACCATTTGTGACTAATGACAGCAAACTGCATGGGGCTTAATAACCAACTCACCAGCGGAGGCAGTGGTGGGACTGAGATGGAAAGGCCTGGAAGGTTTCCTTCTGTGACCTGCATAACTTACCTCAGCTTACAGCCAGAGCGCAGGTTGTAGCCAAACAGCACCGGGGTGCGGACGCCCGCCAGCGCCAGGCAATCTTGCTCTGCTGTGCTGCGGAGAACCGTGAGTTGCCCGTATTTGTTCGTGGTCTGAATAATCCCAGACGTGCAGGCACAGTTAAGGGATAGCCGCTGGTACCCGGGCAGCTTGATTCACAGGGAAGGAGACGGGGCCAGCTCTGTGACAGGAGACGTGAGCGAGACCCGAATCCAGCTGCTTGGGACCCCTGGCGTTTCGGCAGTTCTAACCATTTGCCTTCATTCAGAAATCATTCATAGAAGAGTAAATGGGCTCTTCAACATTAATTCCAAGTGTTCAAAATGCTAAACCTGTTCAGATTCTGCTTAGGTGTGACGTGGATCCTGGCTGTCAACTTCTCCATGTGAAGATTTTCCTGTCCCCACTGACATTCTCCCCAGCTGTGTGGGCTCCCCGACTGTCCCCCTCCCTCCCCAGCCATGGGTCTCCACTTTGCCTGTTCTGCAGCTAGGACTGGCCTCCAGGAGAAAGCTCTTGCCGATGCTGCCTCTCCCTTCTGGAAACTTCTCTCCAGAAGCAAAAAGGATATCCTTTCTGAGGCTGAAATCCAGCAACTAACGGGAGCCCCACCACGTAGCCAGGGTTGCCGCTCAGAGGAACGGGCCTTACGTTGTGCTGAAAGACAAGGCAGGGATGCCCCGAGAGTTCTCAATCAGGCAATGAGATGCTTTCTTCACAAAATCTGGAGTCTGCCACCAGTAAGACGGCCTCCCCCTACTCAGAACTAGAAATACACCTGCTGTGTGTGGGCGCGCCCCAGGCTATAGGAGCACAGCCAGTGTGGAAAGGAATTACATTCCCAAATGGGAAAGGCATGGGGACTAGGCCTGCGTCCAGGCCAACTCCAGGCCACATGCCAAGGACGAGACAAGGTGCTTCTCTCAAGCTGAGGCTTGTGCGGGAAGAACACATGACTTTTTAAATTGGCAATTGACGGGCCCGGCGCGGTGGCGCAAGTGGTTAAAGGTCCTCGCCTTGCACGCCCGGGATCCCATATGGGCGCCGCGGATTGGCATAGTATCGGCCCGTTGCGCTCACTTGGGGAGTGAATCATGGGACGGAAGATCTTCCTCTCTGTCTCTCCTCTCTGTATATCCACCTTTCCAATGAAAAAATAATAAAAATAAATCTTTAAATTGGCAATTGACAACTTTGACAAAGGATCAAACTTACCTGAACAAAATGGATTTCAAACGTCTGCTGCAACGGGGTTTCCTCCTGGCTGACAGCCCCCAGCAGGAGGGCGAGGTCGGCCTTTATGATCTCGCCTGCATCCCTGTACGTGAGGATGTACTTGGCCTACAAGCAGAGTGACACTGCCAACACCTGTGCACAGTGGTCCACGTGTAATGCCCCCCCCCCCACCTGCCGAAGCTTGCCTCTGCAACCCAGTGGGGAATCCAAGAGGAGTTCCCTCGGCATCTCCCCAGCCTCGGGCTTACCCGGGCCTCTGGCACCAGGTTCCAGATCAGTTGGGCCACGTGAAACGAGCCCATTCCCACAGGGGAGATGCATCCAACAAAGAGCACCAGTGGGAGGATTCCTATAAGCGCATCAGCCACGGGGAGGCGAATGAGGCAGGCACCACAGCAGGACAGCATAAAGGCAGGTGGGAGGTGGAGGGCGGCAACGTCGCAGAAACAGCCCGCCTCCCTGCAGGTGCCCCACAGTCAGGACATGCCAAAGCCAGCCTGGGCCCCTACCTCCAGAACGACATTCACACAGATCTTGCTATGCCCAGCAGTGATCAGAGAGGGCGGCAGCACCTCCAGGGCCTCCAGCCAAGTGAGCGTTTTGTTTAGAGACTGATTGACAATGGACTGGACGGTGATAGAGACCTGCTAAGCCAAGATGCGGGACTTTCAAGATTCTCCACATGACACGGGTGAATGCCGTAAAGTAGTGAACTGAGCCTCCAGGGACGCACTGCCTGTTGATTCCTATATCTGTACAGATCAAGACACTCTCCAAAATTCACATACACACTCATTGAGAAAATCATCGAGAAGGATGCAACCAAAATTTAAAAAACAGTTCCCTTTGCAAATGTGTGTCCCCACAAATCTCTCACCCATTCACAGCAGCATTATTCATAACAGCTAAAATCTGAAAACAGGGACTGCTGTTGCAACATAGTGGCAACCTACAAAGATGGCATCTCCACATGGGTACCAGTTCATGTCCTGGCTGCTCCTCTTCTGATCCAGCTCTCTACATACAGCCTGGGAAAGCAACAGAAGACGGCTCAAGTCCTTGGGACCCTGGACCACCCCAGCAGACACCTGGAAGAAGTCCCTGATGCCTGCTTCAGCCTAGCACAGCTAGGCCCTTTGTGGGGAGGGAACCAGCAGATGGAAGGACTTCTCTCTCTCTCTGCTTCTGCCTCTATCTGTTAACTCTGTGCTTCAAATAAATAAGCCTTAAAAAAACAAAACAAACCAAAACAAAAAAACCTATCCCAGAATAAAGGTAGATTTTTAAATACCTGAAACTGGCCTAAAATGCCCATCAATGGATGAACAAATAAAATGTGGCTGGTGCACATGAAGGAATACTATCTCATACAAAGTGATGGGCAGAAGTTTGGTGCCTGGGTAGAGATGCCACTCTGTTTGCTTGTTTTTGTTTGTTCGTTTTTAAAATTTATTTCTTTTTTTTACTAGAAAGGCAGATTAGATTTATGGAGAGAAGGGGGGACAGAGAAAGACCTTCCATTTGCTGGTTCACTTCCCAAGTAACGGCAATGGCAGGAGCTGAGCTGATCCAAAGCCAAGACCCAGAAACTTCTTCTGGGTCTGCTACACAGGTTCATGGTCCCAAGACTTTGGGCCACCTTCTACTGCTTTTCCAGGCCATAAGCAGGGATCTGGAAGGGAAGTAGAGTAGCCAGGACATGAACTGGCTCCCATATGGGATCCTGGTGCTTGCAAGGCAAAGATTTAGCTACTAAGCCATCACTACAGCCCAGTCCAGTTCCTTCTGCTCCAGACATCTGAAGAACAAACATTTGGAAGGACTCTGCCTAGCCTACAAATACAAGTGAAAATTTCAAAAAAATGAATGAATGAAGTAGTGTTATAGGTTACAATACAGTTAAGTCTTGAAAATACACCTAATTATGCCCAAAGGGATGGCTCAATGGACTAATCCTCCACCTCCAAGCACCAGGATCCTCATTCCTGGGCTGGCCTTTCCCACAGGGACTGAGGCAACCTCCCACATTCACTCGTGCGGGACCCACTGTGTGCCCACTGTGTACTGCTGTGAACCCAGGTGCAACACGCTCGGGCAGAGCAGATGCTCAAGTCTGCACCAGGGGAAAATGTTCTTTCGGTTGGTAACAAGGTACCCATCTCATAAAGGCATTCATTCACAGGCTCAGAAGTAAGGCTGTGTATTAAAAACTCACTTTCCATGAATAAAGACTCTCACCTTGGCTCTTGAATTAGGCACCTAAACAAAGACAAAACATGACAAATTCAGTTAACTTCAACAAAATAAACCTTTTCATACCTCAGAACAAAAGGCATATTTATCCTGTTAATCACAGAGGAAAACAGAATTCCATGAATATAGACTTGCTACCTACATATGTCTGAATCCACATCTAGTCAGAGAGGCGACCCTGCCTTCTCCCATGGTCACTGTCTTCAGATGGAAGCTCGGGTAGCTGGTCTCAGGAAGCCCTCAGGCTCTCGGGGTCATTAGTGTGTACCCCCACATTAAGTCACTGGGCCATCACCTGTCACCTCCCATTGCATCCACTCACACTGGAAGGACACTCCCGTTTGCCCAGGCGGTTCTCAATCTGCCTCACTAGTCTTCCTGCCATGAGCCCAAGGCCCTTGGTGCCAAGCGCCCCTCTCCCCATCTGGCCAGAAGTCTTTCTGGAAGGCTTGCCTTTCAATTTCCGTCCCATCTCTCCCAATCTTGTTAGAAGATACCCTATTAAGCCACTGACAGCTTAACAGCATGGGGATGAACAAGACACTTTGGGGGAGGCCAGTGCCGAAAGGAACTTAACACCTGGCTGCCCAAGAGACTAGCCCAGGCCCCTAGGACAAGTATGAGAAGGCAGGCCACCTGCAGGAACCCGGAGGCCAGAGAGCTGATCTAGCAGAGGAGTTGAGGAAATAGGGAGGAAAAGGATAAACTGGACTCTAAAAACTAAACCCAGATGAATAATGGGGCCTTGGACCACCCCACCCACCCCACCTCTACACTCCTCTAAAAAGGAAATCAGGTGGGCGGAGGGGGTGCTGGTCTGACAAGATCTTCCCCCTCATACCTTCCACAGCAGCCTGACCCCAGAGTCCCCCTCATCCTTCATTTTGACTTTGCTCACTGCCAGAGAGAATGGGGTCGCTCACCACTATGATCTTTTCTCCTGTCTCCAGAAATTCTACGTCCTGTCTGGCCTGGGCTGCTAATTTCATGTCAGCCACGGAGTGGGTTTTCACTTCTCTTCTGGTCTAAGAGAAACCTCCTTTTGCTGCTAATATGATTATTTCTGTCACAGACACTATGACCTTTTTGGGGCCAATGCTGTTGAGTGCTGACTGCACCACTTCCGATCCAGCTCCCCTCTAACAGCCTGGGAAAGCAGCAGAGGATGGACCGAGTGCTTGGGCCCTGCCCCAACGTAGGAGACCGGAAAGAAGCTCTCCACTCCTGGCTCTGAACTGGCCCAGCTCTGGCCATTGCAACCATTTAGAGAGTGAACCAGTGGATAGAAGATATCACTTCTCTCTGTAACTCTGCCTCTCAAATAAATAAATAAAATCTTGTTTTAAGAACAGATCTTTTCATGACTTCTAATGTTTCTGGTTATTAGTAAAGATTTTTTTTTAATTTGGCAGACATATTACTGGTTATAATCAAAATGAATGAAAGCAAAACAGAAAATATAAAAATAAAAATTAAAGGATTCTTTCAATAATTACACTAATATCAAGTTACTGTGGAAGAAAAATGGAAACCAGATTGTCAGTCATGTTCTGAAATTATTCTATTATTCTATGCCTGTCACATTTTAAGAGTACAAAGAACAGAAAACATACGGGAATGAATCAGTTCCATTTCCAAATAATTCTTACCCTCAGAATTTGAGGACTGCTGTAGTAAGTCATATTAAGAGCTTCTATTTCTTCACATTTTTCTACATTTATCCTTCTGGTGCACTTAACAGCCTGGTTCACCAGAAATGCTGATAGTTGCAACATAGTCAAGGGGACAAAAAAGACAAAAGAATTTCAATGTCCAGTGGTAATTTTAAAAAACTATAACCTACGGAGGCCAGCATTATGGTTTAGTGGATAATGAATGCCACTGCCTGCAGTGTTGGCATCCCATACTGGCACTGTTTTGTGTCCCAGCTGCTCTGCTTCTAACCGAGCTCCTAGCTACTGGTCTGGGAAAACGGTGGAAGACCGCCTGAGTTCCCAGGCCCAACACCGAAATGGGAGAGCCAGACGACGCTCCCCGCTCCAGGCTGCAGCCCGGCCCGACCTGCCTTTGTAGCCATCTGGAGAGTGAACTAGCAGAGAAAAAGTCCCTCCTCCCCGGCAACTGTTTCAAAAATAAATTAAAAAAAAAACCCGTAACCTAGGAAAAATGGCAAAGTTACATTACAGAAATGCAATATGATTAAAATTAAACTTAAAAACTATTGTTTGAACAGGTAAAAACCACATCCACCAGATTCAAAATTCAAAAGACACAAAAAAGGACTGGACCAAGACTCCCTCCAGTTCGCGTCCTGTCCCCACACCACCAGCACCCTCCCCGGAGGCAAGTGGTGGCAAGGATCTGGTGTTTTCAGAGACATTCTATGAACATAAAAGCAAATCTACAGGTTTTAAAAATTGCTTTAATTTCTTTCTTCTTTTGGAAATAAACACATGATATATACACGCTCTGCCCTGCATTTTTCCCCCTCAATAACGTAGCTTGCAGGTCAATCTAACCGAGTACATGAAAAATTTCCTCTTCTTTTGAAGGCATAATTAATAGTCTATTACCAATGTGGCACAATCACTCTATCAGTTCCCTATTAAGTGGACAATGACATGTCTCTTTGCTGTCTACCGTCTGTCCTCTCGCACGTGGCCCACGGTTTTGGCAGAACACAGCCTGCACGAAAAGGCACGTTCATCTGTAACTCCGGCCCATTCTGCTGATCCATCCTTCACGTAGACTGCACGGTTCTCGGTCCGGCCAGTCAAGCAGGCGGGTCCCCGTTTCCCTGTGCTGAGCCTACTGCCTGGACGGACAGTGAAGACGGTGTCGAGATCTGCTCTTCACCTACCCTGCTCCCAGGGGTGTAGCGTGAGAGACGCAGGGCCCTGGGAGGCAGAGCGTGCAGGGGAGCACCGGGGCACGTGGACCACAGCTGACTGCACACTTTCTGCTCTGCTCCACCCCGAGGGATTTCAAGCCAGAAACCGCACATCTCTTAGCTTGCTCGTCTAAAAAAAAAAATGGACACGCCCGGCACAGCAGCTAACACACCCAGAGTGCCTGGGTTCGAGTGCTAGCTCCACTTTCAATCCAGCTCCCAGCTAATGAGCATCCTGGGAGGCACAGGTAAGGAATCACAGAGCTGTGTTCCTCCCACGTGGGGGAACCAGGCCCTGGCTGTTGCGGACATTGGGGAATTAATAAGTAGATGAACGATCTCTGTCTATCCCCCTGGTTTTCAAACAAAAAACAGATTTTTTTAAAAGTTGTATTTATTTTCTTGCTTTGAAAAGCAGAATTAGAGAGAGAGAAGAGAGACAGAGAGCGATTCTCTGTCTGCTGATTACTCCCCAAATGGCTAGTGACTGACGTTGGGCCAGTCTGAAGCCAGGAGCCAGGAGATTCTTGTAGGTCTTCCATGTGGGTACAGGGGCCCAAGCACTTGGGCCATTCTCTGCTGCTTTCCCAGGCTGTTAGCAGGGAACTGGACTGGAAGGGAACAACTGGGATATGAACCAGCACCCATATGGCATGTGCCCCAAGATACACCATGGCATCTGCCCCAAATAAACAGATTTTATTAAAAAACAAGCAAACAGGGATGCTAATCTGATCTAAAAGGATCACTGTGAAGATTCAACAGAACACACGCAAGCTCTCCGCACAGTAAATGGCAGCTAATGATATCTATTACAATTTTCCAGCCACAGGAAGCGTTCAACATTCAAGTGGGCTGTTTGCAGGTAGTGAGTTCATCACCGCCACTGTAAGTGCTCAAGCAGTGATTGTAGTAAGTAGGGAAAACTCTTGTACCACACGTGCAATCAAGCCACATAACCTTGGAAACCTCTTGCAACCCCAAAGATCCTCTGTGTCTTCACCCAAGAAGCCTGCCTGATGATGCTCACGACACACACAGACTAAAATCGGATCTCTCGGTGCACAGGGAGAGAGAGCGGCCACTCCCTTACCTGCAGGGTTGTCATCAGTGCACAACGATGACGTCAGGGGTGAAGGAAACCTTAAGAAGGAGTCTGACGTCTGCACAGATGCCCCGTACTGCAAAGGCAAGAATCAACCACCATTATGGTGCCAGGAAACAGACTCATCAACACTGAGGGGGCAGCACTGCAGACATAGGCATAAGATGAAAATCCCAGACGTGGGCCATGGTCCACGCCCACATGGCTGGCATCTAGCGGCCTGCCCCTCCAACAAGATGTGTGTTGCTGTGTGTGCGTCTCTGCATCTGCAGGCAATACAACTATGGAATTCCTCAAGAAGAGTCCATCAGAAGGTGACGGCAGCGCCTCTGCAGACAAGACACGAGCGGCAGGGCGCAAAGTGCGCAAAGTAATTATTTTCCATTAGCATTTGTTGTTTAAACGACAGCATATATTAACATTTTAAAAATCAACTTTTTATGAGAGTGCCAAAATAAAATCCCAAAAACCTCTTGCCCAACTGGGCAGACATTTTAACATCTCAGTTCCAGCAAAGGTACAGGAGAACAAGTCCTCTCCTTCAGCGGAACCGCAAGTGGAAATTACCACAGGCCTTCTGGGTGGCCAATGCGCTATCAAAGTTTAAAGTTTCCATTCATTCTTACCAAGCTAATCCATGTACAGGAATGCAGCCTAAGGATACAATTAGAAAAATGTACGAAGATGGATACACAAGGGCACTTCAGAAAGTAATTTATGGGGGCCAGCACTGTGGCTTAGTAGGGAAAGCCATCACCTGCGGCATCGTCACTCTGTACTGCTTTACTAATCCCACTCCCCTGCTAACGGCCTGGGAAGGCAGCAGAGGATGGCCCAAGTGTTTGGGTTCCTGCAAGCCGTGTGGGAGACCTGCAGGAAGTTCCAGGCTCCTGACTTAAGCCTGACCCCTCACTGGCGGTTGTAGTCATCAGGAAGTGAACCTCTGGATGAAAGATCTCTCTCTGCCTCTCTCTCTGTAACTCTGTAACTCTTTTTGTTAAAAGGCAGCTTATGGAAAGCTGAAAAGATAAAGTTTATTTTGGTGTAAAAAGTTTTAAATTATACAAGAGATCTTTTAAAACTTCATAAAAATACACATTCTGAAAAAAACTACACATAGAATTCAAAATTTTCAAGCTTTCTGAAGTATCTCATATATTCAAGCATGTTCTTTGTGACAGGGCCCACATCGTGATGCTGTGGGTTAAGATACTGCCTGCAGCACAGCATCTTATCTGAATGCTAGTTCAAGTCCCTGCTGCTCCACTTCTGACCAAGCTCCCTGTTAATGCACCTGGGAAAGCAATGGAAGACGGCCCCAGTGCTCGTGTCCCTGCACCCACATGAGAGACATGGAAGCAGCTCCTGGCTCCTGGCTTCAGCCTGGCCCAGCCCCAGTTGTTGTGATCACTTGGGGAATGAACCAGCACATGAATGGAAGCGCTCTCACTCTGTCTCTCCCTCTTTCTGTAACTCTGCCTTTCAAACAGACAAAACAAATTTTTAAAAAAATCTTCTTTGTGGATTCTTTATAATAGTAAAAGCTGGGAGAAAATGTCTACAAAGAGTGGAAAGGAGACCCCACACAGAAAGGGCCCCGGGTGTTCCGACGTGGGACACAGCGCCTTAACTGCTAGACCGAACGACAGCTGCAAAATAGGTGACATTAATCCATCGTTTTCGATCTGTAAGCACAAATCAGAAGTTTTTCAATCTCTGGTGTGAATTAACGTCTTGAGAAGACAGTTTTGCTGGTAACACTGAAAACAAACTTACAAGGACAGCCTATCTGTGCCAGGTGCAGTGGATTAGATCAAGGGCGCAGCTCACCTCATATTTAGTCATACTGGGAGCATCAGATTTGGGTGCGAAAGAAGCATCTGAGTCTGTGTTCACTGTAAAACCATCAGATGTTTGCATCAATTCATCAAAATTGCTGTCATCAGGTACTTCCGGATCAATAAAAGCTAATCCAGGTTTATCTGGTTTTAGAAAAAGTATTTTAAGTCAGTTCAAAAGGCATGTATATTACATATGACATTTTAGAAAGGTTTTTTTTTTTCTTTTTTTATCAGCATTAAGACTAGTATTAAAAAAAAGTGGGGGGAGTGTCTCCTTCCACATTCACTCCTCACGGGATCTCCTGCACATCCTTAAATCCCCAGGCCTTCTCCTTCCCCTCCCCACCCTCCTGGCTTCTGGCAAGGTGGGGCAGCACTGGCCTCCAGCTGCTGCAGGATCCCAGCAAACCAGGCGCCACCTCTTCCATCAGCTACCATCGGGGCAGCTCTCCTCAGATGGCTGTGGGAAGCAGAGACTCACGCAGTCACCCCGAGCCCTGGGGAAACACGTGCTGTGCCCAGGGGACGCAGAGGGAATGGGACTGGTAAGATGGCAGAGAACATAATGAACACTGGCTGGTCATGGACTCGGCACGGCGGAGCACGCACCCAGGTCTCCCATTACTAGAGCACAGACCCAAGCGCCCAAGCACAGGCATTCCAGCAAGGCAGTCCGACAGGTGTCTGCAGGGGACAGTGCCTTGATAACAGGTTACCCCTGTGGGTACTCGGGATAGAGGCCTTCCTGGAGCTAAATTCTCAGACAAAAATAAAGATCCTGTTTTCATGCAAATATTCTTGTTAAAAATAAAACAGAAAAAGGAAATAGAAACCACAGGTAATGTTTAAAGCTCAACCCAATTTTCACCCATTACACCAGAAGAAGTAAAAAAAAAAAACGTGTGTGTGTGTGTAAAAATCTAGATTCCCCCAACTCCCTATGTCCGCATAATATAAACAGGTGAAATTAGGCATAAAGTTTCAAAAGACAACTACACACATACAGTTTTAAAGAAAACACAGGTGCTTATAGTTCTACAAGCTACTTGCAGGTAGCTGTGAAATGACCTCACAAGGTACATGTTATGCATATAAAATATAACTAGACTGCTTTAAATCTAAAAGAATAAGGTTTTTTCTTTTCATTATATAACTTCGAAAAAACAAGCTTCCAAAGTTTCCCAAAAAGCATCCATTACAGTTTGCAATACTTACAGTTTGCAATATGAATGCAGAAAATAGATGGATTGACATGGTCAACAAGTTTAAATACCCTCTGAGGTGGGTCTGAGGTAAAATTCAAGGAATAAATGGCTGCTTTTTGAGTACAAAATTGGCTGTCACCCCTGAAAATGAAAAATAATAACATCAAGTTTGAGGGTATAGGCACACGTTCTCAGCACAGGTATTTTTAAATTGTCAATGCTTGTAGTGTCCTATGCTAATAGCTGTAGGAGGATACTTACGAAAGCAGGTTAGAATTCATATATTTTCTTAAAGATTTATTTATTTTTATTGGAAATTCAGATCTACAAAGAGAAGGAGAGAGAGACAGAAAGATCTTCCATCTGCTGGTTCACTCCCTAAGTGGCCGCAACAGCCGGAGATGAGCCTATTTGAAGCCAGGAGCCAGGAGTCTCCTCTGAGTCTCCCACACAGGTGCAGGGTCCTAAGGCTTTGAGCCATACTTGACTACTTTCCCAGGCTACAGGCAGGGAGCTGGATGGGGAGTAGAGCAGCAATACAAGATGGTCGGTAGATGGGACACAAATCAGTGGTGCCCATATGAGATCCCAGCTGATGCAAGGAGAGGATTAAACCACCAGCTGTCAGGCCCTAGAATTAATGTTTTTAAGAGTTATTAATTTACTTGAAAGGCAGGGTTAAAGAGAAAGATCTTCCATCTGCTGCTTTACTCCCCCAATGGCCACAGCAGTCAGTGCTGGGCCAGTCTGAAGTCAAGAGCTTCTTCCGGGTTTCCCATGTCAGTGAGGGAGCCAAGTAGTTGGGCCAGCTTCTGCTGCCTTCCCACGTGCATCAGCAGGGAGCTGGACTGGAAGCGGAACATCAGGGACTCAGACCAGCACTCATACGGGATGTTGGCGTCACAATGGTTTTACTGGTCATGCCACAGCACCAGTCCCAGAATTCATACTTTAAAAATCAGTTGAGACACAGGCAGAAAGAAAGAAAAGGCGAGAACTCTCATCCATGGGTCACTCCCCAATGCTCACAGCGTCCTCAGAGAAGTCAGGGGACAGGAACTCCATTCAGGCTTCCCCTGTGGGTTGCTGCTTTCCAGGCTCAGTATCAGAAGCCAGAGCCAGCGATTCAGCCAGGCCCTCTGTTACAGAAGTGGAGTCATAACTGCAAAGGAAATGCCCTTCCTTGAGCCCATTTATTTATTTAATTTGTATTAAAATGTCTGGCATTTGGGGCCTGGCACAGCTAGGAACCCACGTGGGTGCCACTTTGCATCCCAGCTGCTCCACTTCCCACCCAGCTCCCTGTTTGTGGCTTGGGAAAGCAGTCGAGGATGGCCCAAAGCTTTGGGACCCTGCACCCGCGTGGGAGACCCGGAAGAGGCTCCTGGCTTCGGATCGGCATAGTATCGGCCCGTTGCGCTCACTTGGGGAGTGAATCATCGGACGGAAGATCTTCCTCTCTGTCTTTCCTCTCTGTATATCCGCCTTTCCAATGAAAAAATAATAAAAAAAAAATCTAAAAAAAAAAAAAAGTGAGGTTCTTTGCTGAGGGCTCTAACTTCTAATCTGGGGAGGGTCCTGCAAATTGCACCTGGTGTTGGTAAAACAACATTTTACTGGAACATATTCAAACCCATTCATATATCTACCTACAGCTACTTTCACTTAACAATTGTAAAGCTGAGAAGTTGCCACAGAGACCCCTAATGGCGTGTAAAGTGTAAATAATATCTAGCTTTGTTCTGGTCCCGGGTATTTTGCTACTGATCCTGGGAAGGAAGTGAAAGTTATACTGCGTGCCCCTGCCTCCCACATAGAGACCAACATGGAGCTCCTGGCTCCTGGCTCTGGCCAAGTCCAGCCCTGACAGCCATCTGGGGAGTGAACCAATGGATAGAAGATCGATCTCTCTCTGCCTTTAAAATCAATAAACGCATTCTTTAAAACAAACAAACAAACAAAAAAGATTATCTCTTTACCTTAGAATTGCCGGGAATGACAGTTTTAAATTATTCTCCCTACAATGTGAACTGTGAGGATTCCTGGTAGATTTCACAAGATTAGAAAAGTATGAACAACGCTTTCCCAGCTATGTGCTTCACTGTGTCCACAACAAAAGCTTCAACATTAGACTACTTTTCAGCCTAGATTACACATGAGACTAGTTCACTAACACAGGAAAGTGACAAATCTCTGTTTAAAATGCAAACTGGAATAGACCCCCAAACACAGAGAGGTTTCATTCAATTCCTGAGATGATTTCACTCATTTTCCCCTCAACTCTCTGGCCGGCTGACAGTAAGAGAAAGCACTTCATCTGCACCTCGCTTTGGACAACACAGCCCCTTAAATCATCAAAGACAGCAAACCAAGCTTTGGGGGTGTTTTCACTATCCTAGTCAAACCTTCCAGAGCCAGGACATGTCTTAAACTTACCTGACAACTGGGACGGAGCAGGCAGAAAAGATGCTGAAGTCCCTGGCATCGCAGTCAGGGTCACAGCAGCAGTTGACGTCACACTGTGCTGGGGACAGGTCACAGACACACAGAGCAGCCACTACACAGGGAAGAGGGACAAGATTCACAGCATGGCCAGCAGCAGGTGCTGACTGGCCCCTGCTACAACAAGTTCAAGTTCATGCAAAAGAACTTCAGTGTCTCCCACTGTGCTCTGGGATGCGGGACGGACGTGCAGGTTTGAGCACAGCAGCTGGCCCTGATGGGCTCACAGAGTTCTGTCTGTGCTTTAGCTGCATGCAATGCGATTTGGTAAGCCAAATAGGAAACCCAAACATGCACAGTTTTCAAGACAGATGAGCCAGAAATAGGTTAAGCCCTACTACAGGCTTAAAATGACAGGCAGGCAAGCCTCTGCTCTGGATGTGGCTCAGGGAAGGGCCCACACTACATCCATGAGGCAGGAATAGTTTCAGTGGTGCCCTACTCCTCAAAGACATCCTGTAATTCTGAAGTTGAGCTTTTGGCTAATGTGCACCCTGGGGGGGCAGCTGGAGCCAGTTCAAATGGCTGCATCCCTGTCACCCACATGGGATACTTCAATGAAGCTCCTGGGGTCTCCTTGGCTAGGGTGTGGCGTTCACAGGCATTAGGGAAATTAATCCACAGATTTAAGTTCTCTCTGTACTCTACCTTTCAAATACACACTTTAAAAAATAAAGAAATAAAGTATAAACATCAAATGCATGGTAGTTATTATTGATGGGGGAAAGGTTAAGGGCTTCAATCATATTTGTAATTTGTTTTGTTTTCTCTTTTTTTAAAAAAATATTTATTTATTTATTGGAAAGTCAGATATCCAGAGAAGAGGAGAGACAGAGAGGAAGATTTTCCGTCCGATGATTCACTCCCCAAGTGAGCGCAACGGCTGATGTTGCGCCGACCTGAAGCCAGGATCCAGGAACTTCTTCCGGGTCTCCCACACGGGTGCAGGGTTCTAAGGCATGGGGCCATCCTCAACTGCTTTCCCAGGCCACAAGCAGGGAACTGGGTGGGAGGTGGAGCAGCCGGGATTAGAACTGGCGCCCATAGGGATCCCGGGGCAGTCAAGGTGAGGACTTTAAATGCTAGGCCACACTGCCGGGCCCTTGTTTTATTTTCTTAAAAAAATATCCTGGGCCAGGTACTGTGTTGCAGTTGGTAAGCCGCCACTTGAAACACCCCACACCCACGTCACAGGGTGGCTGTGAAAATTAAATCACACGCAACACAGAGGAAACCCACAGCGAGGTGTGTACCACATGGCAGGTGGTTAATAAATCAGTTATTCTTGCCATCCAGGGTCTAAAGAGAATCTCTTTAAAAATAAAAGGCCACGTACAGGGGCCTGGTGGTGTGGCCTAGGGCAGCTTCACCTCCCACCCAACTCCCTGCTTGTGGCCTGGGAAAGCAGTCCAGGACAGCCCAATGCTTTGGGACTCTGCACCTGTGTGGGAGACCTTTCCAGGTCTCTTTCGAAGGTCTTGGCTCCTGGCTTCGGGTCGGCACAGCACTGGCCGTTGTACTGACTCAGGGAGTGAATCATTGCATGAAGATCTTTCTCTCTGTCTCTCTTCCTTTATGTATATCTGACTTTCCAATAAAAATAAAATAAATCTTAAAAAAAAAAAAGATTTAAAAAAAGAAAAGGCCACATACAAATTCATCCTCCCTACTGGGAAAACAAACAAACAGCAGCCTTAAACACATGCTCTTAATTCCAGGCCAATAATCTTAGAATAATCTTAGAGAATTTCAGGCATGGAAACTATATCGTGCCCAATGCCAACAGATGCGACTTCTCTATTACCCCATCAGATCAACAGGTTAAATGCTTAAGGTTCTGTTTATTAAAGAGATTTCTTTGTGGGCCCGGTGGCATGGCCTAAAGGCTAAAGTTCTTGCCCTGAGCACGCCAAGATCACATATGGGCACCAGTTCTAATCCTGGCAGCTCCACTTCCCATCCAGCTCCCTGCTTGTGGCATGGGAAAGCAGTCGAGGACGGCCCCATGCCTTGGAACCCTGCACCCACATGGGAGACCTGGAAGAAGTTCCTGGATCCTGGCTTCAGATCAGCATAGCACCGGCTGTTGCGCTCACTTGGGGAGTGAATCATCGGACGGAAGATCTTCCTCTCTGTCTCTCCTCTTCTCTGGATATCTGACTTTCCAATAAAACTAAAATAAATCTTAAAAAAAAAAAAAAACAGATTTCTTTGTATTTTTTCTTACAGACGACTCATAATATATAAAGGAGGACTTGGGTAGAAAGGACTGTTCAGTAATTGGAGTTGAGTCATGGAGTTCAGGATTTCAGCTAAATAGAGCATTATTATTATTATTATTTATTAATATTGCACCTTGCCCCATTTCAGAACAGACTTCCCTCTCAGGAGGGGAGTAATAACTCACTTACTAAACCACTGACTGGGTGGTAGGCATTTCACCTGTAAAGTTACTCAAGAAGGAATAAAACAAAAAAACAAAAAACAAAAAAAACGCACACCTATGCGGGTTACTCTCAACTCCTCTGTAGTCAGAGGGTTAATTCATTTGGATGACCACAAACCCCTTTTACAGTCCTCTGGTTGCTAATGCGGCTTGACACTAGAAAAGTGCATATCCACACAAGTTGGGGAGCCTCCACCCACCCACCCCTCCACCTCCCCAGCATCCCAGAAACTGGCACTTGGTACCCACCGTCAGTGACCGGGGTGGGTCTGGAACCGGAGGAAGACTCGGGGGCTGTGGAGGTTCCGGGGGGCCTCTCGGAGGCCGTGGAGGTTCTGGGGGGCCTCTCGGGGGCTGTGGAGGTTCCGGGGGGCCTCTCGGAGGCTGTGGAGGTTTCCGGGGACCTCTCGGGGGCTGTGGAGGTTCCGGGGGGCCTCTCGGAGGCTGTGGAGGTTTCCGGGGACCTCTCGGGGGCTGTGGAGGTTCTGGGGGGCCTCTCGGGGGCTGTGGAGGTTCCGGGGGGCCTCTCGGAGGCTGTGGAGGTTTCCGGGGACCTCTTGGGGGCTGTGGAGGTTCCGGGGGGGCTTTCGGGGGCTGTGGAGGTTCCGGGGGACCTAGGCGACGGCGATGCTCCAAAAGAAACCAGGGATATCTCGGTGATATTATGGTCCGTAGTTACAGTCGGGGTCGCCCCGTCTTGGGCCCTCCCGGACGTCCAGCACCCCAGAAAGACCAGCAGGAGCCGCGGCAGGACCCGCGGCCCCATCGCGGACCCCCGGAGGATGCCCCGCGCGGCCGGCACCAGGGGCCGCTCGTTGCCGGGCAACCGCCGCAGCGCGCGGGGCATCCCGGGAAGAGTCCCAGCAGGCCACGCGAGGAGGCGGGCCCGGCGCCGCCGGCCGCGGGCGGGTGTGTGTGAGGCGGCCGGCCGGCGGGTGAGGCCTGGCGGCCGGTCCCAGCCCTGAGGAGGGCCGGTTCAGCGTCCGGGGAGCCGGCCGCTGTAAGTCGAGCGCAGGAGTCCGTGCTTTGACCAGTGCTGAGGGAACTTGGACGTCGGCCGCGAAAGGGGCCTTCCCTGTTTTTCGACCCAGGTCTCACCTTTTGTCTTTTGTTAGGTGCCTCGCTGGAGGTCGCCAGGACTGCTCAGGTTCCGACAAAGAGGGCGACACATTTTTGATAATGTTTAAGTCGACCTGCCAGAACACATCACATTACAGTGTTTGTTCGCAAAACACGTTGACCGTTCCTGAAGTGGGCACGACAGTACAGGCGTGGATGCGCCCCTTGCCGCTTGCACCTGTCAGGGTGACATCTTCAGCTCCTTCTGCTTGCATTCCGGAGACAATGCACACAAGTAGCTTCAGTGTGGCCGATTTCTCTCTCTCCTTCACTCTGCCTTTCCAATTAGAATAAATGAGTAAACATTTTTTTTTTCCAACTGCAAAGCGTGAGGGAAACTTTTCTCCCATACAATAAAACTTGGCTCTCAGCTATTCCAGCATAATTCATTATTTCCTTTATCGTCAAATACATATTTAGCATGGTACTAAAATGCTACCAGCAGCAAACAATACACAATTGCAGTCCTAGGACCATCACCAACTGCATGATGGTCAGCTGCACAATTTCATTAACGTCTGTGTTTTTAGGGTCTTGTCACCTCCATTCTTTCCTCTGCTGGAGTTCAGACACCAGAACTTCTCTCATGTTCAAGCTCTCTAGCGAATCTAACCTGCACAGAGTGGAGAGTCACCGAGAGAGAAATCTGTGTTTTTTTTCTTTTTTCCTAAGATATATTTTATCTATTGTAAAAACAGAACAAGTGAGGAAGGGAGATTTTCAATTCCGAAATGGCTGGGCCTGGCCAGACCACAGCTGGGAATCAGGACTTTCATCCTGGTCCCCCACCTGGGTTCAGGAGCCCAAAAACTTAGCCTCCACTGCTCTCCCAGGCACATGGTAAGGAGCTGGAACAGAAGCAGAGCAACCAGTTGAACTGGTTTCCTAACGGAACGCTGGCATTGCAGCTTAACCCACCGTACCACAACATCAGCCGCTGAAATCTGGTTTCAGGATTCCTTGGGTGTTATCAATTCTCAGTAAGTCATCTATTTTAAGTTCTTTTCTCCCCTACCATGGACCTGGGCACGTCATTCCTGAGTCTCCCTGGAGTTGGGCAGCTCCAATTGACGACCTGCAGGTACTGGCTTTCCCATCTACTCACTTCCAAAAACGGTTTGAATGTTCTTGTGAGCAAGCTTCTTTCCCACTCTCTTTACAGGTGGGTTTGTGTCTATATAATTCATTTTATGTGATTTTTTTAAAAAAGGGATTTATTTTGATTTATTTATTGGAAAGTCATATTTACAGAGTGAAGGAAAGACGGAAAGATCTTCCATCCACCAGTTCACTCCACGGCCTGAGCCGAGCCAATCTGAAGCCAGGAGCCAAGAGCTCCTTCCCGGTCTCCCACATGGATGCAGGGTCCTCTACTGCTTTCCCAGGCCACAAGCAGGGAACTGGAAGAGTAGTGGAGCAGCTGGGATATGAACCAGTGCCCATATAGGACCCTGGGCATCCAAGGCAAGGACTTTAATCACTAGGCTACTGCGCCAGGCCCAATTTTATGTAATTTGAAAAGTCTTTTAAGGTGGCAGAAATGTTGGCACAGAGGATACAATGGGTTTGGGGGGTTTAAGTAACCGTTTTCTGAGTCAGGTGCTGAGGGAGTAGACGAAAAGTGTGCATTGTGGAGCGGGGCAGACGGCGCATGTCCGGAGGCAGGAAACACAGAGAAATGTTGGTGCCTTGCGTTCAGTTCTGGGAACCTAACCTTGCTCTGAGAATCATCTTTTGAAAAGGAGAAGCCCACATTCCGGAGGCAGATCTTGGAGCCCGGTTCCGAGCTTTGTTTACTGTGCTCATTTTGCTCACCGTTGAAAATGGGCTAACAGCAATATTGGGCACAAAATGGTGTGTGTATCTTGGCAGTGAGCAAGACCTGAAAAGGCTTAGAAATGTTATGTGAGAAAGAATCAAGGCTCTTTCATGGCAAGGGACAAGCTGATGCTTGTTAATTCTGTGTAAAGAGTAAAATGTACTAATCATGCCTTGAAATTGACTTTCCACAGGGTGGGGAGATGGCATCATGGTATAGCTGGTAAAGCTGCTGCCTGCAGTGCCAGCATCCTGTGAGGGCACCAGTTTGTGTCCTGGCTGCTGCATCTCTGGTCCAGATCCCTGCTCATGTACCTGGGGAAACCAACCAAGTGCTTGTCTCTGTTTTGGTCTCTCTCCCTCTTGCCTTCCCTTTCTCCACTCTTCCTGTAACTGACTTTTAAATAAGCATAAATGTTCAAAAAAGAAAAGAAAGGAAAGAAGGAAAGAGGTCAGGAACATTACAAAAAAAAAAAAAAAGATTTCAAGGTTTAGCCATGTTTGATATGGCAGTTCTACCTTCTCCCTGCAGGTGGCAGCATTTGTCACAAAAACTTGGCTCCTCCTAGGCACACCCTGAGGTGGGGAAAAAATTCTCTCTTCTTTTGTTGACTCTAGAAAATGTCCTATGAGAAAAAGCTGGTATTGCGGCAGAAGCCCTAACTGGAGTCATTATCCGTGAATGAAAAGTCCTCTTAGGGCCGATGTCAGGGCACAGCAGATGAGCAGCCAGCCAGCACCCCTGCATCCCATGCCAGAGTATCTAGCTCCCATGTGTGGAGTTCTGGCTCCACTTCCATTCCAGCTTCCTGCTGGGAGACAGCAGACAAAGGCTCACATACTTGGGTCCCTGCCATTCGCCCACATGGGAGAACTGGATTGAGTTCCTGGCTCCGGACTTCAGCCTAGGCTAGCCCTGGTTGTTGTAAGCATCTGGAGTGAACCAGTGCTGGAAGAACTCATTCTCTCTTTCTCTCTCTCTCTGCCTTCCAAATAATAGTAATAAGTAATTGCAGTGCCTTTTTCAATAACAACAGTGTTAGGCCTGTGCAATGGCTCAATGGTTAAATCCTCATCTTGCAAGCATCAGGATCCTATTTGAGTGCATCCAGCCCCCTGCTTGTGGCCTAGGAAGGCAGTTGAAGATGGCCCAAAGCTTTGGGACCCTGCACCCACGTGGGAGACCCAGAGGAAGCTTGCAGCTTTGGATTGGCTCCGTTCTAACTGTTGTGGCCACTTGGGGAGTGAAATGGCAGATAGGGGATCTGTCTCGCCGTCTCTCCATAAATCTAATCTGCCTTTCCAATGAAAATAAATAGATCTTTTTTTAAAAAAAAAATTACAACGATGCTGTGATGGGCCCCACTTATAACTGTTTTCCAGGCCTACTTGCTCTTTTCAGTTAAACAGTTTTCATGAACTCAAGCCTGAGCGAACGAGGGGACTGCTAGCGCGGACTAGGGTTGCCACCCATGCAGAAGGAAGATTGGGGATGAGTCATGGGAGGGTGTCAGGATTACAGGTCCAAGAGAGCAACTCTCAGAATGCCTCCCAGGCTTGTAGCCAAACATCTCCTTTTCAAGAATTATCCAAATTTGGAAATAAGACCAAGACAGAACAGCATGGCCCTTTTGATACCATCTAAAACATCATCTAACAAGCTCACCAAGGGTTGTCTGGCAGGGAGCAGCAGCCATTTTGTGTGTGTGTGTGTGTGTGTATTTCCCAAGATTTATTTGAAATGCAAAATTGTAGAGAGAGAGAGAGATCTTTCATCTGTTGTTTCACTACCCAAATGGCCACAGTGCCTAGGGCTGAGCCAGGTCAAAGCCAGGTGCCAGGAGCTTCTTCTGAGTCTCACATGTGGATACAGGGGTCCAGGGACTTGTTCTCTCTTGCACTGCTTTCCCAAGAGCATTAGCAGGGAGCTAGATGGGAAGTGGAGCAGCTGGGACTCCAGCAGGCACCCAGATGGGATGCTGGCACTGTTGGAGGGCGGCTCAGCCTGTTAACCACAACGCAGGCCACAGCAGATTTTTTTATGTGAAGGTCCAAATGGTAATTATTTCCCTCTGTATGGGCTATAGACAACCCTCTGCCCTGGCTCCAGCAACTCGACTCTGCCCCTGCTGTGTTTCCAGGACAGATGGCAGCAGCAGGGCTGCACATGGCCGTTGGTTTCAGGGAATCTCCCTTTGTTTGCCTTGCTATTGACTGCTCCTGTTCGTTGATGGCCTAGGTCTTTGGTAGTTTTGAGTTATCTGTCTCCAGTACAAGAAAGACTGCAGTAGCTTACAGTTTTATTACCTTGCTGAAGGTTTAACCCGTTTTGTGATCCCTCCTTCCTCTTTCCTCTCTGAGAAGCCGAATCAGTTTTCACCTACCTTCATGTTCTGTCTGAAGGAGCCTTGTTTAACTTCTGACATTCTTGTTTGTTGTACTTTTGCAATTAGCAATAAACCCATTAACTAACAGAGCCCTGTGTTATAGAGGTAGTAAAAGAAAGAAGGAATTTAAAAGTGGTTTTATAGAGGTAGTAAAAAGAAAGGAAGAATTTAAAAAAGTATCTTTCCATTCTGACTATCGAACTGGGAGAGGGAGAAGGCAGGAAATTAAAAATTAATCCATATATAATCTCTCCCAAAACTTCCCCCCTACTCAAAATGAGACATAATTCTTTGTGTCTCTAAAAATGAACTGTGGGAGAGTCCTTGTTTAACCAGTCTCAGAATTCCACTCCAGAGTTTCACTTCCTCCTTTCAGCCCTGCATTTCTGGCCTTCCCAAAAGAGTTTCTAAAGGGAGCCACACACCCAGGTGTAGGTCACCGAGGCCTG